GCCCCCATCGCCCACCCGCTCTACAGGGCCGCGCCTCCTCCCCTGTGCGCCGCGCTTGCCTGGGCCGAGAGTACCGGAGGCCGAGCCCTCGGCTCTGATTGTTAATGCATATCGAAAGGGCCTTTTATTTTCTCTGGGGAAATTTAATTTCTGGGCATATTTCCAGTGTATTTTGTCCTACTTTTGTGAGAAGAGCTGCATTCAGTTTGAGAAAGTCACCTCCTTGAGGGCTTTTATGATTAGGGTCCCTGGGTGAAGGCTGAGAGTGGCATTGGTTGGGGTCTGGATCTAACCAGCCAGGCTGGTGGTACGAGCTGCTTTAGCAGGAGTTAAAGGGGTGTGAGCTGACCAGGTAGGAGTGGTTGAGTTTAACTCAAGCTCAGATCTCCGTTTTTCACTATACCATCAATGAGTCTCAAACCTTGTGAAATGCTTAAGGAACTCCTGGGAAACTTATTAAAAATACAGATTCAAGAGGCATGGTAGAATAGTTATCAACCAGAAAAGGCTACAGCCAAAAAAAACCTGTATTTTTATTGTTTGCCTCATGCAGTAAAAAACGGAGGGCCTGCTATAGCCCGGCACCAGGAACGTGTTTCAAGAAAAGCCCACCACCACCGCCATGTCCCTATTTGACTTTTGCCAACGGGCTTGCATAGGAACCATGGGAGACACTCTGAAAGGCCCTCGCTGGAATCAGGGGAACATTATAAGCCGAAGACCCCAGAGATTGGCATTTTCTACCTTGCCCCTGCCACTGTACTGAAGGGCAGGGTCTGAGCTCTTCGTCAACCCAGGCATGCAATGGATCCATCCTCAGCACATAAGATAGTCTGGCTTGAACTTTCTGGGCTCCACAGGTGCACCTCCCCTCTGGGGGTGGAGATGGATTGGGAGAATGCAGTCACAGATCAACACTGCCTGCTTTGTCAAAGCCAGAGAAAACCAGCAAGAGGACAAGGCCAAGAAAATCATGATACTATGTATTTGTTGTTACAAAATATATTTATATTAACTAGAATGTGCCAGAGTCATGTGGATAAATTTCTAAAAAATTTTTATTAGTCCATGTTTGCAGTGCATAATGTTTCCATTCCTTGTTTGGAGTTGGTACATGGAGATAACTCATCTAAATTCTTTTTTCATCCCCTTTCCCTCCCTTCCCTCCATCTCTTGCTCCCCTTTCCACGGGAGAAAGATCTGTATTCCTATTTACTATATATCTTGTATTTTGCTCTTTCGATTTTGAATTTTTTAAACCTGGGTAGTTAGGCCTCATCCTCAGAGATTTTTCTCTCAGCCCATCTAAGGTGGACCAAACATTCTGAGTTGCTGATCCAGGGACCACATTAATTAAGAGCAGGCAGCCCACTAGTGGTGAAATCATGTCACTGTGCAGTTCAACTGTAGGTATTACATGACAGTCTTTTTGAACAATGAGAACATTTCGAAGTCTTGGCCTTTTTCTTTGCTTTGTGGTCTACACTCAAGACTAAGGTCCAAGTTATTCACCATCTTGACTTTATTTTAGTGATTATATAACAAAGTATGCAGTATTGTAGCTAGTGGTATGTTTCTTGAAGTCCTTGGATCCCCATCATTGAAATTTACTGCGATCAAGGTTAAGCACTGTAGCTGTCCAACCCAAGATTCTGATTTGGTAAGCTTGCATGGGGGGCCCAGAAATCTGTGGTTTTCGTGATCAGAATTCTGTTAGGTCTCCTGAAGCTTGAGTGCTCCTGAACTAGGGCTTGGGAATCACTTGTTTTTACCAGAAGCCAGGCACACAGGAGGACTATAAACTTTGTGTGTAGTGGCATTTGTTACCATTATGGGGGTGGGGCTTGTAATGCTCTTGTCTAGTTTGAAGCTACCAGGACTGTGTTCTACAATCATTTTAAAGTTTGCTGGGTTTCTCTTTAAATAACCACTCCCCCTCCCATCTTTTCACAAGCTCATGCAATTCATTTAAGATGTCTTACAAAGTTATGTTCTTTGACCAGGTAAATTCTTTTGGAACACTGATAGTATGTGCACCCTATTAAAGATTTTTGGAGTTGGTTCAAGGCAGCTTTGTGGTTTCTAAACTGCACAAGTGTTTAAAATGACCTTTACTACAAATATGTTTGTATTCTGGGACTCTGTGTGCACATTAAAAACAAGAAATGGGTTACAGCCCCTGTGGGAGGAGGCGGGCCAGGCGGAGGGACTCTGTACTGTTAGAGAAGGAGATTTAGTTGCATTGACCAGTACAATAGAGGTTGGTATTCTAGGCTGCCTGCCTCGAGATGTTGCTATAAAGTGATTCCCTTTCTCCCCCACCACGATTTCCAGTTGTGTTCTCCCTTCTGGCGCAATAGAGACCTGTACTTTTATTTTTAAATTTGTATTTGTTTATTTATTTTTTGTTACTGGGGATAGAACTCGGGACCTTGTGCTTGCAAGGCAGGCAGTGGAACCACTGAGCTAAATCCCCGGCCTGGAGACCTGTAGTTTAGAAAGAGGAGTCAAAATAATTTTTGTGTGATTGTATCATGTATGCCAAGTTCCGTTATGAAATATATTCTTCAAAAGTTAGAGGTAAGTAAACTAAGTTGCAAGCAGGATCTGCATGGTCTGCCAGGATTGATAGAGCCTATGTACTTAAAAAGGAGGAATTTTACCATATGTAATTATATTTCAGTAAATCCAACTTTAAAAAACATGTCAGGAGAACTCACCAATTTAGCCCTACTTTTTGTGAATTAATTTGCAGAATAGATTCCCTTTGTGAAGTCAGTGTCCTCCCCTCATGGAACCTTCTCCATGTTTGTTTGGAAGCTGTTCTGTTCCATGTGTGTTGTGTTCTGTGTGCCCTTACTGCTGGGAAGTGGAGGAGTGGAGCTGTTGCAGGGCTGCTGAGGGGTGGGCTCACCTCACATCCATTATTCTTTTTTTGT